TATTATTACCCCATATACCGCTTTTGAGCAAAAGGAGTCGATGTCCGGCGGTTTAGCAAAAGCATTTTATGTTTTTGAAAATTGAAGAAGACCTACCGGTAGAAGAGCTCTGACTCCTACCGGTAGAAGAGCTCACTAGAATGCTTCTACCAGTAGGAAATCATCGTTCTACTGGTAGGAGAATTGACTAGAATTTTTTTACCGGTAGGTAATCAACGTTCTATCGGTAGAAGAGTTCTTTGGAAATGTTCTACCGGCAGATACTCGACGTTCTACTAGTAGAAATGCCCATTGAAATTCTTCTACCGATAGGTAATCAACATTCTACCTGTAGAAGTGCCCACTTTGCCTTCGATTCAATCCTTTTTCAATTTCAACTCCTCCAATCTCAAATAATATCTACCCACACTTATATAACAGACAATTTTACACAAAATACAGTTCATATGAGTTCGTATTACAATCCTTTACACAATATTACATGTCCAAAAATATTTACATTTGTTTTACAAAAACGCAATTTAAAGCCACAACTCGACTTTTCTTCATAACTGAGGACCCATGTGAGAGCCATCCACCGGTGTTTGTCCTGCACCAGAAATGTTATCTCATAAAGGGTGAGTTACGCTCAATAGAGTATCTCCTAAAGAGACTACTCCCCAATTTAGATGCATATGAAATGCTTACATGCAATTCAATAATTAACACACAATCCATTTAAGAATATGCAATTCATAATATAATTCTTTATGCCATGCCATGTTATGAGGTGGACTTGCACATGTAATGCAACCCAAGCCTTCACCGGCTCCCATAACACATGCAATGCCATGCGTATGAATCTAGACATTCCAAGCCCCGCCATTGATGTTACACATCCAATGACCATTTATAAATTTCGGGTTTTTTTTGGGTTGGGTATTTATGGACTTCCATCAATGGGCACCCAATTGACATGATATCTATGGACTTCCACCAATGGCTCTGCATACGCTGATACACTTTATGGACTTAATACCAACGAAGTGTGTATCCAAATCACCGGGTCTTGCACCGGAGAGACAGTCTAGCCTTTCTTGCTAACTCCGACCCAATTTTTAATGCAACCTATGTGACTCAGTTGGATTTTGATCCAACTTTCATGAGCCCACGCATCATCCTCCAAGAGTAATGTTTGATCAAAATTATGCACACACAACCACACATGTCAAATGCCCATGAATGCGATGCTTTTCGTGCATATATAAGGTAATGTACACTTGCAATTCCAATATTATGTTCAACATGTCTTGAACATAATATAAACATTTTCAATTCCTTAATGTAATTTATATTATAAAACATATAATTACATTCGAACATCATCATATTCCCAAATTGTCAATTATATCAAATACATATAATTACAATCCACATTTTCACCAAGCATGTTATAACATTTTCAATGAAATCAACATGCTACTTTAACATAGGTATTTTATCAAACACCTTCTAGGTATACAATTATGTAACACACAATCATGTCCAATTTATCACATTTCTCATGAATTTACCAAGTAAACAAATTCTAAAAACCCAATTCATGCAAGATTGGTTTAACATATTTCTATACCCATTTCCCATACTCTAGTTACACTAGGAGTACATCAAATAAGAGAATTCATCTCAAATCATGCTACCCATATCATATGGAACCCTAGGTTAAAAATAAACTTAGTTAAGAGAAGAACTCTTCATCTTGAAGCATGATTTGAGTGGTAGAAAATTCCCAAGAGCCCAAATCAAGCTTTAACCTTTGATTCCCAAAAATCTTGTCTTTGAAACTTCGTCAAAACTCGTGGCTTTTGATATGTAAACGTAGCCCTCGTCGAGTAGAAGAACTTTGGTTCTTGGCCCGAATGATTTCGACTAATGGTTGGCCCTAGATCTTAGAGAGAAGTTGAAGAAAACCCTTGATTTTTCCTTTTCTCTGTCCCTCCTCTCTTTTTCGAAATTTGATGGGTAATGGGGATAAAATTTAATTTTTCTCCCCTATTTATACTCGTTTGATACTTGGCCCTCGTTGCGCCCTAGGTTCGATTTTGTCTCGAATCAATTAAATTTCGTCTATTTTCAAGTCCAATATATTTTTATTTGAACTAACTTTAAATTATTTTTTTTAGTTTGCAATTTATTCTGGATTGCGTTTCTTTTGGTAATGCGACATTTGATCATCTCGTAAAATATAAAAAATCCGATTTTCTCGAAATTCAACGAAAATTGATTGGGCAATTAAATTTTGTGAGACGAATGCAACGGTGAGGTCCGTTTCTTCATCCAAATTCTAGAAAAATTTGGATTGTCAACGTGTACCGTAGCTAGGGTTGTGCAAAAAACCCAAACCCGACCACCCGATCCATAACCGACCCTTCCGAATGAAAATGGACGGCTAAAAATGTTTCCGGTTCAGCCCGCAGAAGTTATAAACAATTACCCGATTAAATCGGCTCGGATGACGGGTAAATTCAAGTTATAACCCGAAATACCCGATCTGTCCGAATAGTATATTAATAATATAAAAATTAATTTTGTCCTTTAAAAAAACAAAAAAAAAATAAATATAAAATCCTCCAATTCCCAAACCCTACTCATCTTCTTCTTCAGAACAAGAGTGCACCGCCTCTTGTCACTCTTCAGCCTCTTCTCTCTCTCCCACATGCTACCCCTTTTCTTCTTCTTCCTCTGCTCTTCATTTCTTTAGCCCTAATCGTTCTTCGAGTACACGATTAGGCAAGATATATTTGAGTGGATTTTTGGATCTACAAAGCAAGCCTATGGATTTCAAATCTAACCGATCTTCGAGTACACGATCAGGCAAAATATCGTCGAGTGAATTTTTGGATCTTCAAAGCAAGCCTAAGGATCTCAAACTCAAATTTGACTGGTTCAAAAAAAATGCCTTTGATANCCTTTGATTCCCAAAAATCTTGTCTTTGAAACTTCGTCAAAACTCGTGGCTTTTGATATGTAAACGTAGCCCTCGTCGAGTAGAAGAACTTTGGTTCTTGGCCCGAATGATTTCGACTAATGGTTGGCCCTAGATCTTAGAGAGAAGTTGAAGAAAACCCTTGATTTTTCCTTTTCTCTGTCCCTCCTCTCTTTTTCGAAATTTGATGGGTAATGGGGATAAAATTTAATTTTTCTCCCCTATTTATACTCGTTTGATACTTGGCCCTCGTTGCGCCCTAGGTTCGATTTTGTCTCGAATCAATTAAATTTCGTCTATTTTCAAGTCCAATATATTTTTATTTGAACTAACTTTAAATTATTTTTTTTAGTTTGCAATTTATTCTGGATTGCGTTTCTTTTGGTAATGCGACATTTGATCATCTCGTAAAATATAAAAAATCCGATTTTCTCGAAATTCAACGAAAATTGATTGGGCAATTAAATTTTGTGAGACGAATGCAACGGTGAGGTCCGTTTCTTCATCCAAATTCTAGAAAAATTTGGATTGTCAACGTGTACCGTAGCTAGGGTTGTGCAAAAAACCCAAACCCGACCACCCGATCCATAACCGACCCTTCCGAATGAAAATGGACGGCTAAAAATGTTTCCGGTTCAGCCCGCAGAAGTTATAAACAATTACCCGATTAAATCGGCTCGGATGACGGGTAAATTCAAGTTATAACCCGAAATACCCGATCTGTCCGAATAGTATATTAATAATATAAAAATTAATTTTGTCCTTTAAAAAAACAAAAAAAAAATAAATATAAAATCCTCCAATTCCCAAACCCTACTCATCTTCTTCTTCAGAACAAGAGTGCACCGCCTCTTGTCACTCTTCAGCCTCTTCTCTCTCTCCCACATGCTACCCCTTTTCTTCTTCTTCCTCTGCTCTTCATTTCTTTAGCCCTAATCGTTCTTCGAGTACACGATTAGGCAAGATATATTTGAGTGGATTTTTGGATCTACAAAGCAAGCCTATGGATTTCAAATCTAACCGATCTTCGAGTACACGATCAGGCAAAATATCGTCGAGTGAATTTTTGGATCTTCAAAGCAAGCCTAAGGATCTCAAACTCAAATTTGACTGGTTCAAAAAAAATGCCTTTGATATTTTTTTTAAGGTTTTTGGCTTGTAAGATTGTATGTAAATAGGGAAGTTCAACATTGAAATGAAGTTTTGAAATCTTTCCAGCAAAAAAAAAGTTCTTGAAATCTAGTTGAGAGTATTAACCGAAATCGATCCGAAATCAACCGACTTAAAAATGTCAATTTTTGGTTCGGTTGTGTATTTTGATTGGGGCAGTTTGGTTGATAGAAACTACTTCCAACCTCTTTCGGTTCGGCCAATGGAAGTCTTCCCTTCCGACCCTATATGTCGGTTGAACATCCCTAACCGTACCGGCTAATTACTGTTTTGCCCTTTTTACAATTTTCCTGGGTTTTACTATTATTTATTTCAGTATTGTTATGTTATTTAGGGAATACTTGTTTTGCTAGGAGTGTTTTAGCAATTTTAATAATAAGAGTTTGATTAGGAAACTATTTTAGTAGGAGACTTGGTATGGATTTATTTCTTATTATTTTCATTATGTAGAGTGATATTAATAAATTGTTTCTTTATGGAAAATTTGCGCGTTTCTTGACAAAATCCTTGTGAGGGTTTGGTATTTCTTATTCTTTCTTCTCCGCCTTCTTCTAGTCCTGCATCACTAGGTTGGTAAGGTCATTGACCTAACCTAAACCAATGGAAACCAAGAAAGGAACCCTGAACGTTGAGCTTCAATCTCTTCTTCTCATCCAGCTTTGGTCTTCGAACTTGTAAGTATTTTAGCGATTAGCCTTAGTTAAGATTTGTTATAATGTAACTCACGGAATTTGACCAACACACTACATCCTAACAAAGTCCTTTTCCCTTTTTGAAGTAAAATGTATTATCTCAAAATTGTCATTGAATGTTTATCGTATTAACTTAGTAGCAGACTGGCTCGACATTTGGTATATATGCAAAGATGTCAAGCTTTGGAAGTTTTTTTATTTGTGGGACAGGAAACACTACATGCTATCTCTTCATCAACGGAGCTCTTCAAGAACTGCACTGGTTTAAGCAATCTTATGGGTCTTGGTTTGTAGGGGATTATGTTTGTGAAGGTGAACTTCACATTAACTTTGTGTAATTTTCTCATCCCATGCATTTTGCATGCCTGTGGATGTGTGTGCCCACATCATTATGTTACATTTACCATAAATCATGTGTTAACTGGCTATTATTGTTCCATTATTGCATCTTGCAAACACGTGCGTCATAGTGCTTAAACAATCAATAATAGGCCTCTAATTGTGTTGAGTTGAGACTCATTAAATGAACCCTTTTCTATAATTTCAATTTTCTAGCACCTGTTCAAGGTTCAGGCATGCAATATTTTCAATGTCCGTTAATACTATTATCTTCATTATTCTTACTCTAGCGGTGCACCTAAAACATTATTAATCCTTATTGGAGCAATCATTGGCATCTATTATGCCGCTAGACCATTTAACCTCATGTTCCTCCAATTTGTTGCAATCACCTTCAATCATTGCAAAAGATCATTTGATTTTGAGTCATCTAATCTTGTATTTCTGTATTCCATCTCAATGTTACTCTTTAGGAGGTGTTAATTCTAACTTAAATTTGAATTTATTAAGCACCAACAAACTGAAACGAAATGAAATTGCAGATTAAATGTGAGGAAATTCCACTAAACTTCCAGTAGTGCAAAGCAATCTAGGAGGCTATGATTTTTTTTTTTTTTTATGGCTTTTGGTGCAGAAATACTTTTGCTAAAAGAAACATGTGGTTAGCTGATAATTTACGAAAGCTTATTCAGACAGTTTGCAAGTAACAATTTGAAAATCAGAGTTTAGAATAGTCTGCCAGTGAGCATATCTTTACTTGGTCTACCAGAAGAGTACGGCACCAGGCTATAAAGCCCAGGAATGCTTAAATAATGGAAGTGCTTGAAGCATTACTTTTTAACCATCTGTGCTTTGTCTTCTATCATTTTTGCCTATGTGGAATCACTATTCTACGTCATGGTGTTGTAATATTCTACCACAAATAAGAAATTTTTTTGGGAAAAATCATGAAGATTTCTGTTAAATGCAATAGAGACAATGATTATGCACACATGGTTTGAAGTTTCACTTTCTCTTTCTCACACAATAATACTCTTGGTGGTGTTACTTCAAGTAATAGTACGGACTACAATGACAAAGTTATGCACGGGTATATACTAAAAATTAATACTAACTTTCAAACCAAGGATGAGCTAAATCCTCTTACATGTTTTTAGACAAAATAACTAAGAAATTTAATCCAAATTATGTAAATAATGCAGTGTTCCTTAAAATTGGTAAAAATTAAGTATTATCAGTACTAAATTACTATTATATAAAACCTACCTATATTATTTTATATAGTCTTCGTACTTGCTCTAGAAATGCCTGCTTTACTATTATGTAATGGAGTATGACAAAACATAATTTCGAAATATTGAATGGGGAAATCTTTGGGGATTTAAGAATGGTCAAAAGTATAGGAGAATTTTGAAAGGATTGAGGTGGAGGGAGGTTTGACTATCAGCTGAGGTGAAAAGATATTGGGAATAAGTTGGAGGAAGTTGTATTCAAAGAAGAAATATCCTGGGTACAAAAGGTAAATGTGAAGGGGATTAAAAAAAGTGATAATAATACAAAATTGTATCATAGGCAGGTGATCCGTTGTTGCCTTTTCCTTTTACATTGGCTGTAAATGCTTTAAGTGAACTAGTAATTTGGCCGAAGGATTTTAGTTTTCTCGATGGGTTTCCAATTGGGAAAGATAGAGTGGAAGTGTCACATATGCAGTATGCTGACAATAAAATTTTCTTTTAATCTAGTAATGAATAGCAGTTCCATGATCTTGTTAATGTTGCTGGGATGTTTTTGGGATTGAAGGTTAATGTGTAAGAATGTAGGAGTTGGACTTGATGTTCAACATATCAAGTTGGAGAGTGGAGCAAAATGTGATTGTGTGAGATTTGAGGAGTGGCCTTTGAATTAGTAGGAATGCCACTTGGTGGAAGTTCATTGTCTATAATTTTTTGGAGCCTAGTGAAAAGGTGCAAAAGAGGTTGGAAGGTTGGTAAGGGGCTTACTCGTCCAAAGACCGGAGGCTTGAGAGATGCATTTTCAAGGACAATGAAAAGAATCCCTTACCACTACATTAGAGTTCCACCTGTTAGATTGAAGTCCATATTAATTCTTATCCAATGGAAACCTCCTCATCCACTTTCTCAACAAATACAACATTCCTCTTAACTAAATTTTCTACCTCTGATCCCCCTTTATCTCTCAATCTACGAACCAAATCGCAATTGATCAAATGATCATTCTTCCCCTCACCATTACCTTTTCATAAGGGATTTATCATCATGTTTTCCATATTTTTATTGCAGCTTTTACGGGGAGTCTAAAGAGCGACAAATGTGAGAAATTGGAAAATGATTCATATTTACAAGATGTTTGGAGGGGTGGGGTATCTTTCTCATCTTTGTTTCCTCACCTTAATCAGCTTTTTGGATCTCATAATTCTTCTATTTCTAGCATGTTCAAAGTCTTTTCTCCTCAGTTTGGATGGAATTTTAATTTTCAAAAATTTTCAATGATAGGGAAGTTGTGGAACTTTCTTCATTATTGTCACCTTTTGAGGTGGTGTCTTTGGATGTGTGGTGTTTTTGAGAAGAGATATTAAACTATTTGATTTTTTTAGGACATTCTCGTGTAAATTCTTCTTTCCGTTAGTGAGCAATGTCCTTTCTTTTCCTATTTCCAACCCCCTTCATCAATTTGGTAGACTAAAGTACCATTGAAAGTGCAGATATTTGCTTAGATTATTTCTCATGGGAAGACTTATTTTTGTGGTTTGGTCAGAGAAGAAGGTCCATTGTTAGTCCCTCTCCCTATCAGTGCATTATGTGTAGAAGGACCTATGAGAGTATTGGCCACGTTTTCTCTATTGTCATATAGCTTTTTTGATAAGAAACAAACATTTTATTAGTACTATCAAAAATATTATATAAGGCGAAAAGTTGGACAAGAGATCCAACCTCAATGACACAAATTACAATACAATAAAAAAATCATAATTAGACTAAAAGCTACCAAAATTGGGTTGTCTATATAAATCACAAACAGCCCTCCGATCGGCAAAAAAACAAAAAAACAGAGTGGGACACCCTCAAAATCTTTCGTAGTTGAAGCCAAAAAAAGATATGGTTACATAAACCACCAACCACCAACCACCTTATTTCTATCTTCAAAAATTTGAGCATCTCTCCGACCAAATAATCCAAACTGTAGCCAACATTGCATAGTTCCATAGTGTGATACCTTTATTATGTTTCTCAAAATCCTTAAAATCCTCAACAAACATGGAAGAAAAGGGACCAAGTAGTTGCCCAACTCAAACCTACCAATGAAAACAACCTATTCCACAAGCTTAAACAATAGGGCAATGCAAAAAAAGATGATCAGTGATTTTTCTATCACCATGACACATAACACACCTTCGTGAAGAAAGATAAATTTGTGGTCTTGTCCTTCACCTTAATTGGTACTTTAGTCTTCCAAATCATCAAAGAGGGGAGAAAAATTGAGGAAGAAGGATCATCAATCAAAGACTCAAAGAACGATTACACGAGAAACACATGGAGGACTCCAACATTCATCTTCTTTTATCAAGGAACTCTTGATCTATGTGAACATCATTAAGGAAAGAAGTGATACCAAATTAAAAATTTCTCTATCATTTAAATTCGTACGAAACCCAAAATCCCAAGATAACAAATTTGAACTTGATTGGACCAAAGAAATGATATACATATTATGAGCCCGAGATACCCGATAGAGATGAGGAAACAATAAAGACAACAAGAACCCCTTAACTAAATATCCTCCCAAAAATGAATCTTCTCTCCATTTTCTACAATAAAATTGGGTTTTTTTGCACTTTGCACCATGAAAGATTTTAAGATTCTCACTTTGTATTCTTAAAGATTAAATTTTTCACATTATATCCTAAATGTATCAAAAGTATTACAGTGTGACCTTTTGTTAGCTTCTGTTATTTTTTTCGTCAAAAGCCAACCCATTGATAGCGACGGAAAAATTAACAGAAAGCTAATAGAGGGGTCACATTGCAATACTTTTGATATATTGAGGGTGCAATGTGAGAAATTTAATATTTGAGGGTGTAAAGTGAGAATCTTAAAAAATCTTTCAAGGTGCAAAGTGCAATTCGCCCACAAAATTGACTATCTTTTGAGGGGTTTGGTTGGAAAGGAATAAACCAACTTTGTGTTTCCTTATTAAAATCATAATTTCACTTAACTCATAATCTCATGTTGTGTCTTATAAATCACAGCTTCCACTACCCCAAAATTTTCTCGTAAGAAAGAAAATGGACTGAAATAAATTATTGCATAACCATACCGTACTGCGCATGCCATCCAACTGGTTAGTATGCAACTATACCGTTGTTGGAGGCATAGGACATTTTTTGTTGATGTCTCATTTATGTTGCCTCTGTTAACGATTATCTGATGCATCAATTAAGTGCTTGAATCTGCATAATGTCATCAGTTTTCCTTTTTAAGTGTGTTTGATAATGCATAATCTACAAATAGTCCAAGTCTTGAGTCTTTGACATTGAACTTAAAAATGATAAAACGTACTCCAAAATACCATAGAATGTAGTTTTCAATGTCTTATTTTGGCTTTCCAAATTTTGGTGTTATGCGCAGATAGTTTTTCCTCTCATCTTTGCACAGAAACTATGCTGGTATTCATTCTGCAACAATTTTCTTTACTAATTTATTTATTTTGTCAATAGATGGCTGCATATACACTGCCACTCCAGTTGATCCTGTTTTCATCCTGTTGCCCATTTTTGAGGAAGCTCGAATGAAGGTAAAATCATCTTTGTCTGTCTTATTCTGACTCTTTGGGATCATTAATTTGAACTTCTTTTGGTTTCTCTTCTTATCAATGAATCAAGGATACGGGCGTCGTATCGGATACGATACGAACAAGAGAATACGACAAAATCCCAAAATATAAAACACGGGTACGGGAAGGATACGACTAATTAAAATAATATATTTTCATATATATAACAACAACATTAATAATAACTAATAAGACCTAGCAAACATTGATTTTTTGATTTACATGCCTAAAAAATGAAGTGTAAAGCATGTGGGCCTTACTCGGTGGATACACAGCACAAAAGTATTACAAAAAAAAAAAGTGTAAAGCAAATGAAGATTTTTTGATATACATGCAAGCGGCAGATCTGGAGTGGATACACAACACAAAAGGTAGTAACAGATCTGGGGCTTCATAGTCGCAGGTATGGTCTTCTCTCTTTTCTTCTTCTTCTCCTCGTTGCTGAAGCAAATCTGGTGGAGCCTTCGTTTGTCTCTTCTCTCTCTGTCACGAATCTGGAGTGGGATGTGGGAAAGACCACCAAAGGCTTAAATCAATTTGCCCCATTTTTGTCTTTCTTTTTCCAGCCCTAAAAACACATCGTTTCTTCTTCTTCTTTTTTTGTTTTTTGCCATTTTAGCCCCTCATTTTTTAATATTACAGATGAAACCGTCGTATCCCTCCTGTATCCTCACGTATCCCTGACATATCCGGGCTGTATCCGATTGCAAAAATTCTTTTCTCCTGTTCAGGACACTTCTGGAAGTATTGGACCCGTGTCTGATACTGCCCCGACGAGTATCCGTGCTTCCTAGCTTCTTATCTATATAATATATATCGCTGCTTGGATTTATTTCTGCACATAGGAATTCACTATTTGGGTTGAAAACAAGAACGTATGTATGTCAATCTTCTGAACGCCCAAGACATGGTTATCTTTGTAAATATTGTGAGTTTCTGATGGAGGAATATTACTTGCCATCTTATGAGTTTCTTATTCTTCAAGGGTTACATTTTTTTGCCCACCATCTACACTAACTTTTTTGTTTTCTTATTGAATGCAGAAGGGCGATGATCCAGGAAAGTTCAGGCAATTAGAGGATATAATTTACATAAGTGGGTATCCTGGATGTAAACGTTTGTTATCCATTGCCGAGAACTCTATGCAAATAGTTTGTGATTTCAAAGGTAATTTACAACCTTGATTATTCTGGTCCATATTATTCTTGCATTTATTCCAATCTTGTTACTGAAAGTACCTCTGTGTACTGCTTCATGAATCCATGATTTTGCCGTAAACATCGCGGACAATCATTAGTCCCGGTTATGAATTTTCTCAGTAATTGAGATGATAAAAGTGATATTAGGGTTAGTAAGAAAGGAGAGAACGAGAGAGAGATAGAGAAGAGTGGCAAAGAAAGACAGAATAATCAGTCGTGTTGGCTAGGTTGCCCTATGCTCTTTTATTTATAATTGAGTAATATTAGGATAGTTATAATATTTCCCATGATAGGTTGCCCAATGACTTGGTAAGAATGTCTACCAGTTAATAACTAGACTTGATATATGGAATGATGATCTCCTTTTGCATCAAGAGATTTCAAATGAAACGACAATATAGTTTAATGTGTTTGATGCACTCATGAAATATCAGATTACTTGCGATGAAAATAGCTATTTCTTCTTAGGGAAAAGACATATCTATCAAGTGCCATATCACGATACTCCGGCTCTGCACTAAAACATACAACCATGTTCTGCTTCTTTCTTTGCAAAGTAATTACCACCAACAAATGTACCATAGCTAGAAGTAGATTGTCTATCACCATGACTACTTATCCGGCCAATGTCAGAAAAACCAAAAATAGTTATGGATGATGGTGGACGATATAATAATCCTTTTTTTGGAGCCCCACCCTTTTCAGATACCGAAGTATATGACAGACAACCTCTTAATGAGACATACGAGAAACATGCATGAATTGACTAATCACACCAACAACATATGTAATATTAGGGTGCATAACTATAAAATAAATTAGCTTACCAGCCAACCTTTAATAATGCCCTTTGTCATCAAGGATTTCACCACTCTGAGTATTTAACTTAATTGTAGGGTCCATAGGCGTATCTATCGGACGTGCAACAGTAGTTCAAGTTTTAGATAGTAGGTCTAGTACATACTTTTGTTTGCACAAATTGATCCTGTCCTTTAATCGGGCAACTTCAATCCTTAGGAAGTACGCAAGTAGCCCTAAATCTTTGGTATAAACTTGCTTCCCCGAAGATGCCTTGAAGTGGGCAATACATTCTTGAGTCATTATCATTGATGATGATGTCATCAATTGACACAATAACAATAACTATGCATGCAAATGGCCGATGAATGAAAACTGAATGGTTTAAGGTAGAGCTCTAAAAACCAAACTGAAATACCACAGTACTTAATTATTAAACCAAGCACGTTGTGATTGTTTCAAGTCATATAGTGTTTTATCTCCTATTACTGGTCTAATTATCATTGGCCTGAAATCAAGGATCAAAATTTCATTTTGAAACGGTCGAAACCATTCTATTTCTAAGGAGACCAAAACGAATCAATGATGGAATCGAAATTCCAATATTTTGAGGTATTCCATAATGTATCGAGATTTTTTATAATATTTCAATGCATTTTCACAATTTTTTCAGAATATTTCAAGGTATTTCAATATATTTTGATATATTTTGACCAATGTTTTGAAAAAATAATTCTTAATTTTTTTATTATATTTCCAAAACGGGTCGAAATTTTTCCGAAATATGTTGAAATATTTCCGTTTTTTAGGTAATCGAAACAATATACCGAAATGAATTTTGATCCTTGCCTGAAACAACATAACTTGGAGGTTTTATCATATATATCTCCGTGTAAAAAAATATTNCATACAACCATGTTCTGCTTCTTTCTTTGCAAAGTAATTACCACCAACAAATGTACCATAGCTAGAAGTAGATTGTCTATCACCATGACTACTTATCCGGCCAATGTCAGAAAAACCAAAAATAGTTATGGATGATGGTGGACGATATAATAATCCTTTTTTTGGAGCCCCACCCTTTTCAGATACCGAAGTATATGACAGACAACCTCTTAATGAGACATACGAGAAACATGCATGAATTGACTAATCACACCAACAACATATGTAATATTAGGGTGCATAACTATAAAATAAATTAGCTTACCAGCCAACCTTTAATAATGCCCTTTGTCATCAAGGATTTCACCACTCTGAGTATTTAACTTAATTGTAGGGTCCATAGGCGTATCTATCGGACGTGCAACAGTAGTTCAAGTTTTAGATAGTAGGTCTAGTACATACTTTTGTTTGCACAAATTGATCCTGTCCTTTAATCGGGCAACTTCAATCCTTAGGAAGTACGCAAGTAGCCCTAAATCTTTGGTATAAACTTGCTTCCCCGAAGATGCCTTGAAGTGGGCAATACATTCTTGAGTCATTATCATTGATGATGATGTCATCAATTGACACAATAACAATAACTATGCATGCAAATGGCCGATGAATGAAAACTGAATGGTTTAAGGTAGAGCTCTAAAAACCAAACTGAAATACCACAGTACTTAATTATTAAACCAAGCACGTTGTGATTGTTTCAAGTCATATAGTGTTTTATCTCCTATTACTGGTCTAATTATCATTGGCCTGAAATCAAGGATCAAAATTTCATTTTGAAACGGTCGAAACCATTCTATTTCTAAGGAGACCAAAACGAATCAATGATGGAATCGAAATTCCAATATTTTGAGGTATTCCATAATGTATCGAGATTTTTTATAATATTTCAATGCATTTTCACAATTTTTTCAGAATATTTCAAGGTATTTCAATATATTTTGATATATTTTGACCAATGTTTTGAAAAAATAATTCTTAATTTTTTTATTATATTTCCAAAACGGGTCGAAATTTTTCCGAAATATGTTGAAATATTTCCGTTTTTTAGGTAATCGAAACAATATACCGAAATGAATTTTGATCCTTGCCTGAAACAACATAACTTGGAGGTTTTATCATATATATCTCCGTGTAAAAAAATATTTTTTATGTTCAGTTGATACAAGGGCTAGATAGAATTGACTACAAAAAAAAAAAACTCTAATAGAGTTAAAACGAGCAACATGGGAGAAAATCCCACAATAATCCATATCATATGTTTGGGTGTAACTTTTAGCAACTAATCGTGCTTTCAAACGGTCAGTAGAACCATCAGGATGATATTTCATAGCGTAGACCCAACGATAACCGACAGTAGACTGCCTGCTTACCAGATAGAAGAGAAGTTAGGTCCTAAGTATGATTTTCATGAAATGTCTTAATTTTCTCATCCATAGCCAGTTTTTATCGAGGAGGTATTAATGTCTGTTTTGAAGAACTAAGAACAAATGTGTAAAATAAGATTGATGCAAAATAATGAAAGGATGATGAAAGTCGATATAAAGTGATAAAATTAGAAATAGGATGCTGGGTACTAGTACGAGTATCTTTTCGCGATATATAGACAAATTAGAAGAAGGTGATACATTAGACGGCTCAAGAGAAAGGACCCCAGTAAAATTATGCGTTGGCCGGGGAGTTGGGACATGAAAAATAACCTATTTGTTTGTGTAATGACTAATAAACCCGCTATTGTGGATAAGAAGCCAGAGAGGGAGAAGATACACAATTTGGTACAAGAGGCACACTTGAGCTCTCCCTGACTAGTAAAGATTAAATCTAGGAAAAGAGTAATTCTTAATGTAGAAAAAAAATGACTCAAAAAAGGTGACATGGACACTGAAATAATATTGGAAAGAGGCAGAGTCATAACAACTATAACCTTCCTAAGAACGAGAGTATCCCATAAAGACACTTAACTTGGCAAGGTGAAAGTTTATCTCGACTTGGAATAAGAAAGTGAATAAATGCAACATAATCAAAGATACAAGGCGTTAAGGTATGGTATTAGGATAGAGCAAGGAGAACGAAGATTTGTTACTTGAGATGGGAGAAGGCTATGAAGCACGAATACTCTCAAGAAGGTGTTGTATCCATGTTGGATGCGTGTCAGCTACTGACATTCATCAGACACGTGTCTGATACTTTTTTTATTCCAGTCCATATTTAAATGATGATAAAATTATAATTTTGGTTACATGTCCAACATTTCTTGGGTGATATGTCATGAACTTCTTTAGATCGTGTCCACTATTAAACAATAAACATGTGCTGACATGTAATTAACAATGTTTAAAAATTTGACTAATAAGTTTCTTATACTATGAAAGAACATTTAATTATCAAGATTAGACATGTTAAAGTTGTACTCAAAGTATAATATAATAACAAAAGCAAAATATAACTACAAGAGAATATGTTTTTTGTGACGGCGAAGGGCTACTGCAAAAAGTATTTGAGGCGGCATTACGCCGTTGCAAAAAAATAAGTGGTGGAAACTGGCTTACGCAAAGAATGTTGCTATAATTGTGCATAGCATTTGTGACAGAGACTTTGCCGTTGCAAATGTTATGCATTTGTTGATAAAAAACAATTGTTACAGCAACAATGCCGCCGCAAAAAAAATGCTAATTTTGTTTATAAATTTTTTTATATTATCAATTTCTACCTTGTATATACAAATACATCACACAAACCAAAAAGATTTATCACAGACAAATAATTCCACATATAATTCCATTCATAGACAAATCTAAACACTAAGTGAAAATATGTTCATATATATATATATACATAAAAAATAGAAAAAAAATAGATATATGTATTAAAGAATTAAAAGAAGTTACATATACATCAATAGATGGTCAAGCAACATTTTATTGAACAACATTCCCAACTGTTATGACTCCTGGACGAGGTCTTGTCAAACCGACATTACTCTCAATTGTCTTTTCAACAAATACTTTCTAAAAATTTGATCCCAATCGTATTCTGTCTATTTCGGCCGGTAGGTTCGTACTAACAGAATACCCTTTGCTAACATGCACTATGGAATTTTGGAACTTAACAAGCCTACGTTAATTCCAACCTATAATAATATGCACAAGGCAATCAAAACAACAATCGATACTTAAAATGTCTAATGCATGGTTGTTCATAACAATTGAAAGACGTCACATGGTATATAAAATAAATATACATGCAGA